ACGGGTATCGAAACCCGGATTCTAGCGTTGTAAATCCGCAGACATACCGCTGTGCCACTGGGGGGCAGTTTGGTTTGAATTGCGCGCAAAGCTACTTGAGGGCGAGCTGCACTAGCCGTCCCTAATATAGCATTGATAGACGAAAGGGAAGGCGGCTAGTCAACACCACCCGCCGCCATCTCTTGGACTACTCTTTTACCAACGAATAACCACTAGGCCATGCTAAAAGAAACACAGCTCAAGTTTACTGATTATATTTTTAATGTGCGATTGCTGTATAATGAGTGACTTATGGTAAGACAGCTCTCACTGCGGAGCCGTTTTACCACACACCATTATCCATGCAAATTTTGGATTCATGCTTAATATTCACGTTCTTTTGCGCTAATATACGATATAACGCACCTGATGATTTAAATGCAATTGCTCAGTGACGTATTTATTCTAAATTATATTTGCTATGAGTTAGATAGAGGTCATGTTATCCCATCTTGTGGGTCTGTTTTATCCTATCTTATAGACGAAACGGCCCCTAACCGAAAGAAGTGATTTTTTTTTCAATACCTCAAAAGGTCTATCTACAATCTACGTTTTAACTCGAAATTACATGATAACAAAGGGTCCATTTTAAATCTTTTTTGCATTATAATGATATTCATCTTAATTAATGAAAACCTCACTCACAGTTAAGGTGGCCATCTTACCCCAGCTTCCCTTACTCATTTAAATCAGTTGTAAGTTTTCAATTATATATACATAAACTGTTTTTGATCGTATCTTTTATCAGTTGTTTTCTACTCCACTGGCACCAGCTCAGTTTTTTAGAAATATATTAGTGAACACTTTTCTCTGTATGTCAGTATCGCGACAAAAATTTATTTGAAACTTTGTTCGACGTTTTAACATAAAAAAGGGGGCGGGAGAGATAGTATTCACGTTTTATTTCATTCCTCCTCTTCCTCTTCTTCTAAACTGAGCTTAATGCCTTTCAACTGAATTAGGTTCGACGTGTTTTCCCATAATGCCTTGGCAGCTTGCTCATCCCACTCAGGTACGTGCACTGTCTGAGCTTTGCAGTCTCTGAAGAGTTTACCAGATTCTGTCTCAATTCCTTTGCTCAACAAACAGTACAGCAGGGTCTGCACCCCTTCTTCTGGTGTTCGGTAGAGAACTTTCGCACATGCTTGATTGATCTGTCCGAAGACACCAGTGAGTTTACGATACAGTCCAGTTGAAACAAGACCTACAAGAGTAATGACTGGTTAGCTATCATTTTCATGGAAACCTTGAAATCAAACTGTTCTGTTAACAAAAAAAAAAATTAAAACATCCTAGAACACTAAAATTACCATCTAACTTTATCAACCATAAGCTGACTAATAGTATTTTCAGATATTGATTTTATAATTTTGATTAACCTAACTGTATATCCTGAGACCCGATCATAGGGCAAAAATACTAGTTATCATTCTTCTATTAAAAGACACTACGTGATACCCCTACGTTAACTTGTTAGTATTTGGTCATTTACTTGCCTGGGTCTACAGCGAATGATACAATTCCCATCTCTCTGTATCTTCGACTCAATTCCTTTGTAAAAAGAAACTGGGCGAGCTTGCTGTTCCTGTAGTGTTGTTTTATAGAATACTGGGTTTCGCCCTTTCCATCCAGGTTTTTTAGGTCTTTCAAGTTACCCCTACGGAACCCTCCGCAGACAACATTCAGAATCCTGGTGGGGCTGTCTGGACACTTTCTCATTTTGTCGTGGAGCAACAGGGTTAGCAGAAAGTGGCCGACGTAGTTCACACCTAGCATGGTGTCAAATCCATCTGCTGTCCAGTCGCGGTCACACAGAATTGCTAACCAGAAATGATACACAAGAGTAATAATTCTTCTACACAAATATGGGATACAATATAACATAATAATAAAATTTGACATGTATCTAACGCACAAGTTCCAGAGAAATAAAGATCACGCCGTAACAAACATTACTTGTGTAAGTAGTGTGATAAAGTTGAAACGGGAAATATTCTTGCGTTTGTGAGTATTACATTGAAATTATTTTCTAATACAACTTATTAGTGAATTCGCAGAAGAATAAAAAAAAAACAAGCAAACTACATCTTAATCTACAGATTCCTAAAAAGATTTATTATTATTGATAATAAGAATTTGAGTATATATTTGTTTGTAATTAAGCACAAAGCTACACGATGGGCTATCTGTACTCTGCCCACCACGGGTATCGAAACCCGGATTCTAGCGTTGCAAGTCCGCAGACATACCGCTGTGCCACTGGGGGCTTGAGTATATAATTGACTAGAAAGGAAAACAAATTACTTCTATGATACCATCGGTTAAATAACACTAAACGGTAATATCAAAGACAAATAATGTGACAGATGCGAGTTCAAACAAACATATCCCAAGTTGTCCACAACTATTATTGAACTTATACAACTTAATGAATGACAATCTCTATTTTTAACTCGGACTCGATGAGATTCAATACAGTTAGCAGCTGTTAGTCTTTGTTTGTCACAATGAGAAATTTATCATTCAATAGGTTTCCTATTTCAATCCACCCACAAAATGAAGACCATTCAGTTTTAAAAATTTAGCCTAAAATATCATTTTGCTGAGAAAGATAATAGTTTTCTTCAAAGGTATCACAAAGCCTGCTTACATACCCAGTTTTATATTGTTTTGTAGCGGTCACTAAGCTCCTCTGGATGTTGGATACAAATTAATTTGTCCATAAAAAACTTAGTACATTCTTAAAATTAGAAATTGTTTTAAAGTGGCAACTGGTGGCTAAAAACTACACTTTCAGATCCGACAGAATGTTCATTTAAATTCTATTTTGGTTTCTGTTTATTTATACTTTCATTTCTCAACTTCTGTTAAGTTTACCAGAATTAGAGGAAATGTCTGGAGTTTTTCATGCATTCTTTATAAGTGCCAGAAATGATAAACAGTCTCTATGAGTTTTAAATAAACTAGTTAGAAAATTCAAACCGTGGATAAAAATATACTTCATTAATCATAAGAATGTGCAGGCGGAAACAGGCATTTTGGGCATTAATGGTCTACTCTAATCGAATGTAAATACACTGTATCTTAGTGCTCATTCATATGCATGTCAATAGCTTATAAATGTGTTGAAGCAACAGTAAATGGATATAATAATTTCTATCAGTTTTTACCTGCGTTGTTGATAATAGCATCCAACCTCTCTTCACTTGTGTTGAACTCTCGAGCAAACTCCCACACAGAGTCTAAGCTGGTCAAGTCCATGAACAGGACCCGAACATTGAAGCTTCCAGTTTTACTGCGGAGAAAAAAGGCTGTTGAATCTCGGCGGGCTTTAGTACGACATGCCACTACCACTCGAGCTCCTCTTTTTGCTAGTTCTACTGAGAGGGCGCGCCCAAGACCTGAACTCCCTCCTGAAAAAAAAGTAAATACATAAATAAATGATAATACAAAAGTTAGACCAGAAAAAATAGCTAGAAACGAATGTTTTTAACATTTTAAGATGCAATAATCTAGAATTGTGTTGATATGAAATTATTAGCCTTGAAAAACTATTTGGTACACTGACAAAACTTGTGCACAATATCTGCCTGTAAATATGTATTGATAAATACATATATATAAATTGCACACAATAAAAATAATTATTGGAATGCAGAGATGATACACAAGCAAGATTCACAAATAATGAGTAATTGCAATTAAATGGTCAATTTATCATCAGTACAGTACATTATATCAGAAAAAACAAAAGAAAAGTAAATAAGTTGTATAAAATCTCTACTGTTTTATATTTGCTTTAAGACGACAAAACACCTTGTATTTATACTACTATACATTCATCAATGAACGATAAAGAAATATTGTTCCAAATGTTCTTATATTACTCACCACAATTTACCCAAATTGTTTTGTTGCCGTTAAACCTTCACAGTTTTTACATAAGCCCATACAGCCTTAACGATATTAATATTAGGACTTTGTTCAGGCCAGGCTATAGTCGAGGGTGCTCTGCTGGCCTATTTTTACCTCCAGATATCGTTTCACCACATTTGCTGCATGCTTAGGATCAATGTCTTACTGAAAGATAAATCCCTGCCAAAACATATTTTATTTCTGAGCGAATGGCATGACGTATAATGTGCTTTTACCTGTTAACAGTCAGGGTGCCTTCAGTTTTGGGTAGATCTTCAGCAGCAATGGTTGGGATGCAGCCCACACTTTCATTGCACACCCCAGCAACAGTAGATGTTGATTGACCGTGACATTGCTCTCCTATCGAAAACTAGCGTTGACTGTTGCCAAACAGTTTTAATATTGATTTATTTCTAATAAGTACTCTCCTTCAGTTTTGCTTATCCCATTGTTATAAATCCGATGTCCAATTCAGCCTTTTGGTTTGGTTATCTCTTCTAAGTAGTGGGTTTTGAGACCACTTCATGCTAATGTGTGTCTTACTATTCTAAAGATAAATTCACAACTGTACTTACAGCTAGATCATTTGTAAGGTGTTATTGTGTGGTACATAAAAAATAATCTGTGTTACTTATTTTCACTCTTGGAATGTTTGAACTTTCTACCTTGACCGCTTCCATTATCAAAAGTGTTTGTTTCAGGTGTCTACTTCAGAGTTTCCATACAGATTCGATTGAAACTTGAATTCTCACTTCAGTTTGTCACACGAATTAGCTTTCACCAGTGAAAACCTTGATTTCTACACATTTTTCAATATAGTATTTCTCTCCTGAGAAGCATGAGTGCATTTATCACGCTACTGATGAGAAATGTATGACTGCTTGTACTGTTTACAAGTTTGCCCCCGAAGAAGAAAGGTCCACCTTTCGAAAGCGTTCGGGTTATAGGGTATTTATTAATTTCTATCAAGATTTCTTGAACCTACGTGTTTTTCTAACATCATGCCTGTACTTTTATAGGCATTATGATGCTGTAGCTCTGCTTGATTTGTTGGATGAAAGCCAATCGCAATGAAACTATCATAACGTGAAATCAATTTTCAAACAATAGAGGGAGAGCAATTAAGTACTATTTCCATATTTACCCATTTTACTCACTGTTTCCATAATTATTTCCATTACTGTATGTATACATACGTATTTGTGGGTGCGTGTATGTGTCATCATCTATGTTTCTATATGTGTACGTTTTAGTCCAAAGATTGTTGAGAACAACTAAAAAAAAAGGAATTAATTAATACATATACTCAAACCTCATAACTTCAATGTCATAGAGGTATGGGGTTTCTTGTTAGTTGGCGAGCTTTATTATTATTTGTAAGGTATTCCTTTGTTTTATATTAAACATTTTTATATTATTTTAAATTGAAAAACTATTAAACTCAGTATGTTACCTAGTACAAATTGAACGCTTGAACACTTGTAAAAAGTAAATTATTTGACAAAATATACTGATTATCTAATAAAGAACAAAGCTTTAAACATCATAAGGAGTTTTCTTATGTAAATAACTTTATGTTTTAAGGGTGAATAACGTGGTTCTTGAAACGATCAAGTAATTTGATTTTGTTAATTTTTTTACATCAAGAAGTCCAACTTTTATGCAAAATTTATACTTCGAATTTTATAGAAATATAACATGATCATTTTATAAAACGGTTAATTATTCGTGTTGTTAATAATGCAATTGTATTACGAACGTTTGAATTTAGCTTTTAAATATAAAAAGATAAATGTTGAACAACTTCAATTATTTATAATTTTACAGGCTGTTGAAAAACTATGAATTTTAAATCGTAAATATACTTGCTGTCTGCAGCTGGATACATCTTAAGCAAAAATAAAAATAAAATTAGATATTTATAGGTTTGTTAATAAAACCTGATCCAATAAATTACTAATCATAGTATCCTAATACACAGCTAATTAAATTATTTAAGTAAATTTTTTATTTTTGTAACTAAGACTTCTTTTAAAACTTCCGTGAATCAGTTGTGATCATCGAATTTACAACTGGTTTTTGTTGAATTGGATTTGTATATAAAATGCTGCTATTTCACAGTAAAGTTATTTTGAGAACACCAAAAAAAAAAGTATTTCGTAAGTTTTCTATAAGATAAGTACATTTGGCAGAAGCAACAAGACTTTGCTTCCTCGACTTTCTTTGGCCTTACATTCACTGAACTCACAAAATATACTGTCTAATATTAGTAGCAGTTATTTCACTACGTAATTTGTTGCCACTAGGAGTATATAGGAGTCAGCAGTTTTAAATATCATAGATTTCAATGAATCATAAAATTTACTTACGATGGTTTTGTTTGTTTGTTTCTGGTTAAATGCAAAGCTACACAACGAGCTATTTGTGCTGTGCTCACTACGGTATCGAAACCCGGTTTTTAAAGCTATATTAAGAAAAACTTGTTATACATTAATTTCAACCATCAATCTTGGATTAAGGAAAGTTTCTGTTTTCGACTATTCACGATTCATTTAAAAATACAATTTTGAATAGTAGCTACTTAAAAGGAATGTCGTCACAGATATGACATTATGCGGTTTAAGCTTAACTATTCGTACTTAATCTCAACTTGTTATGACTTAATACAGTCAATGGAAAAAAGAATAAAACTTTATTTAACTGCACAAATATGGCTTGTTAAAAAGTTTGAAAAAGCTTGAATATAAAATTTTATTAAATCAAATGTGTATATTATCTGGCCGAGATTCAGAGAACGTATGTAACAATATATTTTCAGACACAAACAAAACCACATACACATTGAACGAGAAAGTTTTATTTTCTGAACGAATACACACTTGTATTTTTAGCCTTTATGCTTGAAAATTATATATCTTACTATAAAGATGATCCTTTATGTGCGTGTGTGTGTAAGCTCTATTACCATAATTTTTGGTACCGTAAGTGGAAACTGTCCGATAGTGTACATAGGATATTTTGTTTTAGGAGATAAAAAGGCCCCTGAAATGGGATACATTTCCACTTTTTTTAAATAGAATTTTGGCTTCAACCACCAAGAGTTGGCTAGCACGATGACCGTAATTTTTAGAATGGTAACTGAAAAGTGTCTGACAGCGTACATCGGCTATTTTGTTTTGGGATTTTTGCTAAAAATGGAGATAAATTGCCTCTGAAATAGGACTCATTTCCACTTTTCTATAGATTTTTGGCTTTGGATTTATATACATAAGTACTTAATCAGGTAAATCAGTCAATTATTACTTCTCACAAAGCAGGGTATGCAATTAATATCTAATGAGATAATTATGAATTTAATAATTAAAGAAAGAAGGAAGGAAGGTGAACATTATATAACATTGTCCTTTATACAAATTTTGCTTCCTTAAGGTGTAACCTCAACTAGAACATATATAAAGAATTAACATTAAACTATAACCGGTTTCAAAGTGTTGTAAAGGTTTCTTTCATTGTGCAAATTGTTTATTATTATTCGATAAAAATAATGCAAAGTCCAGCCAACTTAATAAAAACGTTTTATTTCTTATATCGCAAGCTCTACAAGCTCACCGAGCGATAGTTCTAACTCACAAATAAAACTAAAAAGTTAAATTTCCTCTCCTATTTACGGCAAAAACTCAAAACTGGTGAATAATAACTCGTTACTTTAGTAATCGATCGAACATTTAGGCTGTAACAGACTCATTAATCATCAACAACTTTCTGGTGTTTTTAAATTATTACAATATTTTCCCCAAACATCTCTAGTCATGTCCAATCTAGACAGTTAGGAAATGTCTAAGCGTCACAAATGACTACTATGTCATGTTAAAACTCTCTCTAGCAAGCATTACAAAATCCCTAAATTCAAATATTAAAACACAGTTCACACAAATAACTTCAGTGACTACTCGGCAGTTAATTTATTGCTCATGAATGGTAATTTCTTTTCTGGGAGGGTCAGGTACTATCTAGACCTCTTCCTCCCTCCTTGACGGTTTGTTAATTTTCAGTTAAATGCTAGACGAATCACACCACGAGATCCGGGTTCAAACACTTCGCGGGTAATTACACGGACCCTATTTCCCTCTTCAGAGCAATGTCCATGAATGTAACACTTATAGCATTTAGTGCTTTTTTAGCACTTATCTTAGTTTCATAGGCCTGGAATAGCCTAGTGATTAGAGCACTCGACTCGCAATTTGAGGGTCGCAAGTTCGATTACCCGTCACACCAAACATGCTTGTCCTTTCAGCCGTGGGGCGTTATAATGTAACGGCCAATACCACTACAGGTTAGTAAAAGAGTAGCCCAAGAGTTGGCGGTGGGTTATGTTGACTAGCTGCCTTCCCTCTAAGGACAGCTAGTGCATATAGCGCTCGTGTAGATTTGCGCGAGGTTCAAAACAAACCAAACTTAATTTGACTGTGTAACAGTCTTACACTTCACAAACAGTTCCGTCAGCAAATCTACGTTTTTCACTTGATTAAGTTAATAGACGCGTATTTTGCATAAATATATTTTAAGTACTCTTTTAATAGTCTAATCTAAGGCCTCTCAGTGGCACAGCGGCATGTCTGCGGACTGACATCGCTAGAAACCGGATTTCGATACTCATGATGGGCAGAGCACACATAGATCATTGTGTAGCTTTGTGCTTAACTACAAACAACAACCTAATATAAATTATATTTTATGATCCAGCATAGATGGCCTTTTTCTTAGGGTACACGTTGAGTGGATGGAGAGAAATATTTAGGGCTATCTTCATCATGTATGATATACCGATCTATGGAGGTTATTAAACCCTTTTTGTATAGTTTCTTGTCAAACTATCTGAACGAACAATCTAGGAGTCTGTCTTGGATTGGCTGTATGTCTGCACATTTGTGCATAAAAACTGTGTTTGTTGATCTGGATATTCTAAATGCTGTGGTAATTAGTGAGTTTTGTATTGATTGTGATTTCTAATTAGGTGATGGCTCAATGTTGATCCATGCTAGACAGACATATTCAATTAGTGGACGTATGTACTGTTTATAAATTTTAATGATATTTTTTTATGTTGCTTTTATATTTTTACCCGACAGTCTCCTAGCGTAGTATGCTCGTTGCCATATTTTATTTCTGATTTGGGTGATATGATTTATCCATGTTAATTTAGAATCGTATGTTAATCCTAAGAATTTTGCTGATGTGTAAATGTGTAGACTATTTCCATGTAGGTATAATTCGGGTGGGTGTCTGTGTATTTTGATCGACTTCGAGAATAGTTCCAGGTTGTTTTTGGAACATGAATTTTAATCTTATGTTCTTGACAGTATTCAACCATTTGGTTTAATACTGGTTGTAGGCTTGTGGGGGCTATTGAAGGGGTCGTAGAATCGTCTGCGAATTGAGAAGTAAGACTAAAATTTGTATTTGTTAAGGGAATGTCGCTTACATACATGATGAAGAGAATAGGGTTAACTACCCTTCCCTGGAGAAACCTGCATCAGAAGCAAAATACTTTGAGTAGATGCCCTCCACATTTACTCTGCATTTTCTATTTTCCAAAAAGTTAGATAACCAGCGAATAACACCTGTCGGTAATTTCATTTGTTTCATGTGGAATCGTAGACTATTATGCCATCCCGGATCGAAAGCTTTCCATATATCGAGAAAGCAGGCAACAGTGCATTTGTTTTGGTTAAAACTACCTACTATGGTTTCAGTTAATCTTACAAAATGATCTGTGATTTGCTGAAACCATTTTGTACTTCAGGTAGTTTTGACATTATTTCTAAGAATGTGGATAATCTATTGCTTATTATTCTTTCTAAAGATTTGCCTATGCAGCTGGTCAAGCTGACTGGACGGTAGTTTTCTGGTTTATTGGGTGGCTTACCCCCTTTAGGAACATAAGAATATTTGCTTGTTTCCTTTGTGTTTGTATTTGTAGCTTTGTTAGCATAATCGTTATTGTTTTTGTTGTAAGTCTAGAGGATTAATGGTGTAAGCTGGAAATGTTGGTGTGTAATTTACTTTATTTACTGAGTATTCGTATCTGGTTGTTATGTAATTTACTGAGTATTCGTATCTGGTTCATTATTTGTTTTGAATGTGTTCTTCAGTTGTTCTTTGAAAACTTCTGTTTTTTGTTTTTTAGTGTATGCTATTTTATTTTTCATGGTTTAGTGTGATATAGGTTTTGTGGGCACTTTGACTGTTTGTGAATCGTTCCAGATGTGTCCAGAATTGTATGAATCCCATTATCTTATTTTAACTGTTTTATTTCGATTCTTAGTGTGTTTATCTGTGTTTTGACGTGTAGGTCTCTATTGTTAATGTATGTTCTTCTTAGATAGCAGCGTTCTTTTATCATATATATTATTTGTGCACGTGGTTACCATCTATTATTTCCAGTTTGTTTTTTTATAATTGAATTTTGGTCTAACTATTTGTATATTATGGTGGGGTTCGAGATGGGTAGATGATCCAGATGGGTAGATGATCACTGTCTAAATCATATCCTACATTGAAACTTGAACATTTATTACTGAGATGAGATGAACATATGCAGAGATTAAGGATATCACTAGTATTGTGTGAGGGACTTGTGCGTGTAGGTGATATGAATGGTAAAATGTTAATACGTATGATATTAGAACATGCGTCAAAATATTTTTATCCACAGAGTAGGTACAGAAACGACGAAAGTGGCTACAACTGAAGAAACGATTATAGTATTACGTTTCTTTTCTTTTTCTTTTCACAGTACAATGTAAAACATTTTATTTATACACTCATCTTTGATGAAAGTTAAGGTCTGTTTTGATATTACTCCAAAACCTAAATCATTGCGTTCTTTGAGGATGTTAAAAACTATTTAAAAGTAAATTAACTGATATCCAAGAAGCAACAAACTGCAGACTAGCACCTATATGAGATTGGTCTTTCACCTATGAATCACCTCTTGTTTGGCCAAATATCAGCAGTTTCTTTAACATTTATGTTGCTGGTTTGTTTTGATTAGTTTTGGGTTTACTCTCGTTCAGAAGTAATTTATATCTGACGAAGATAGTCAGGAAGAGAAACATATACTGTAGTAATGGTATTTATTCTACCACTGGAAAGAGAGGAGGTTTTAAATATTACTTTTGTATAACATATTTATTTAAAGTAACCTAGTAACTCTCAATATTCTAAATTGTTTATTCAAACTTGACTGCACTCCAGTTATTCGGTTGTATTGTCAAAAAGTATATTGTCATTAATAACTTACCAGTCAGAAGAATTGTTTTCCCGTCCAAACGTTCATCATTTTCACACCATTCGGTTTTCTTGATGTAATATCTAATGAGAAACAATAACCCCCCAGCGAGTGCAAGGGGGAAAATAAGGCTAAATGCATACACAGAGAGTGTTCCTTCGAGCATCTTCCCTGCTCTGCGTTAGACGTACAAATGGCATTAACTTTAAGGAGAAGCATTGCGCATGTGTGTATACACAGCACATGCGTTTAATGGAATTCGCTAGAATTTCACACTTTCAGTCACGTGACAGGATATGTTATATATGTATAAGAAGGTTGTACAGATATGGGCTTTAACTCAAAACGTTTTTGTAGCTATCTTCCATTCCTCCTATTTTATCAATATATCTGTCATCCGTCCGTCGATATATTTATATATTACGGTAGGTTGAAGCTTACTTTAAATTACTTTAAATAATATCTTTAAGAATTATACTATTATTATCAACAAAACAAAAAAATATTGAGTTTATCACCGCAGATTACGCAGAAGGAAAACTGACTGGTGTACTTGACAATTCGAATTCGAAACCAACAATTTTAATAGCCGCTTGCTGATACAGATTATTCCACAGTTTTGTATTTTTTGGAACCAAATAATTGTAAATGTTGAAAAAGTTAACAGAATGAAACAGAAACATAGAGGTCAAAACTGTGAAATATGTTTGATGATCAATAATATTTTCATAATAATACTAACTGATTAAAAGAGCATTAACACAGTAAATACATATAATCTCTAGCTCTGATCAATCTTGTATTAATACAACAAAAAAAAACTTTAGTCTTTATCAAACGAGACTTAATACGATTAAAACATACACTCTCTATCGCCTAATCAAATTTACAATATCTACAGAATACATATACAATATCCTGCCTTCATACATGCCGAAACAATTGCAATTTAAGAAGTATTTCATTGTCACATATATATTTAAGGATTTAAAGCATTTTTAGCTGTATATACCATTTTATAAAGGTTCAACCTGATCATTCAATATTATAATATTTTAACTGTTTCTATCATCGAGGTTTTTATTTTATTATTCGGTAAAAATAATGCAAATTTTCCTTCTATTAGCGAAAAGGTTAACGTTTTACTTTTAATGATTTCATGAATTAACTTTATATTCTATGTTCATCAAGGTACCTAACTCATATTATGCAGGTAAAATTACGATTACACAAGAAAAATTTTAGTAAAGAAAATAAAATAATTTTTATGCATAGTATATATACATATGTACTGTGATGTGTCTTATTTAAAAAAATGAAAAAGCTACCAGAAATTAATTATATACTGGATCTGTTAATATAATTTAACAGCATTTACTTAAAACCCGACATAAGAGATAAGTGTTAAAACCAAATCCTGAGTTTTTGTTTGTGGCACAGCATAGGAAAATACTATGTTCGAGAAGGCCTCTAAACTATTAGCTTATTAAAAACTTCTTATCAAACGTAATTAAGGTAATTAAGCCAGACCAGAAAAAAAAAACATCAACTTATAAATTAATGACGACAATCTTGTACAGTAAACTGAGCAAAAATATTTATTGTCAGAAATCCACGTATTGGAAAAATAGAACACATAGTAAGAATGCAATGTTATCATTTGGGTCGAATGTTTTCGCTGTTAACGATATTTTTGGCGATAATTTTAGCTAAGATAACCATGGAAATGTTTATAAATTCGTTATTTAGTTCAGTTAACATTTTATAAATCGAAGTGGGACAAGTATGCTGTACAAAGAACACCATTAAAAATTTAATTTGGAGGGAGGACAAAATCTTACGGAGGTCCAACTCCTGGAAGCTTTTGGGTTTTTATAAAGTGAAAACCAAATAATACATGGCGCAGCGCTGGATTTTACCACAGTTTGCAGCACTCACGGTAAACGGTAAAATGGTAAAACTCGTACTTTATTGACAGTTATTCCTTTTCAAGAAAGCTAGAAAAGAATTGAGATCCAACACCTCCTTACACTGTTTGCTTTTTAACATGCATTTAATTAAATCAATTATCCCAATACTTTTGTTGTTTCTTCGGTGCATGACAATTTCTATAGTAAATCTAGATAGGGTTTAAGGACTGACTTTGTTTATATTTCGTCTAAATGTTGTCTGTTTATTTTGTTATTTTTATCATGTTATTGTAACCTTAGTTAAGGTAGTCAGCAGAATTAGTAACCGATATTTACACGTGGGTTGAAGCTAACAAAAAGTCCATATGTTTTTTTCTAATATTGGAATTACAATTATTATCATACTGTATTTTATAACAACACTTTCTGTTTATTTTGATTAGACTAGGTTGATATATGGACAAGGATCAGGAAGTTGCTGGAGAAAACAATGAGACTAGTTTTATGAGAGGTTAATTAAGAACAATGCTATCTTTTTTTTTGCTACTTCTACACTTAGTAATTATTTTCTTAGTAGAATTAGGTGCTTTCTCAAAGCTACTGGCAAACATTTCAAAACTATGACCTATAAAGATAAGGCGGGTTAGAACAACAAAAAAGGCAGGGATTTATAAAAATAAAAAATAAAAGTTTTTAAAATTAAGGTACGTTCAAACATGGTATGTAACATTATAAAAGCGTTTGTTGTTAACGGCAAACTACACAATGGGCTATCTGTGCTATGGGTGCCATGGGTACCAAATCCCGGTGTAGCAATTTCAGATTAACCCTGCTTTACCTTACCCCACGGCAACTTAAAATCGCGTTCAGATTACAGGGAGGTAGGATTATATCGATTTCAAATTACCCCTGGGGTAGCTTGAAGGTGATTTCAACTTACCCCCTAAGATTTCAGATTACTCCCTCAAAACATTTATTTATGTTTATTTAGATACTTATTTCATGCATAAACACAAATAAACTGACAACAACAACAAATAGTAATATCTGAACAGTGTAGGGGTAATACGAAATCAGATTCAGGCTACCCCCGTGGGTAATATGAAATCAATTTCAGATTTCAATTTCAACTTGAAGGGGGGGGGGGGTAGCTTGAAGTCTTTACACCGGTTTTTCGCGTTATAGGCCTTCAGTATTACCGCTGAGTCACTAGCAGGTTATCAAAAGTGACCACTCACACTCACAGAACAAAATGTAGCACACAATGAATTAGAAATTGATGCGGACAATATCTTAGCAGCTATAATGTATGCCACTGAATTAAATAACATTAATCGTATTTTGACATCGTAACCAAATGTTGATTAAATAAACAGAACGATTATTTCAACTTAAAAAGATTGAATGAACAAAATAGTTTATTTGGCCTTTTCTAGACATTTTAAGTTTTTTTTAGAGTACATCTTGTATCTAGTTAAAGATTCATAATTACAACTCAACTTATTTTCAAAATTGTTGTGATCATTTTCTGCACACACTTTGAATAAAATATTTTTCTTTTTTTAATAGTTTTTGTAGTTTATTAAATCCAAATATTTTATATTTTCCAAGTTAGTTTGAATAAAACAAAACAATATGTTCTATCTTTAATCATGTGGAATAGCTTAATCAATCCGCTTCTTTGAGAGAGGTAAATAAAATAGAAGAATTAATCCTTCCCCTTAATTACAGTGAATAAAACAATATAATTAATCCATCTCCTTAATTACAGTGACTAAAGCAATATAATTAATCTTTCCCCTTAATTACAGTAAATAAAACAATATAATTAATCTTTCCCCTTAATTACAGTAAATAAAACAATATAATTAATCTTTCCCCTTAATTACAGTAAATAAAACAATATAATTAATCTTTCCCCTTAATTACAGTAAATAAAACGATATAATTAATCTTTCCCCTTAATTACAGTAAATAAAACAATATAATTAATCTTTCCCTTTAATTACAGTAAATAAAACAATATAATTAATCTTTCCCCTTAATTACAGTGAATAAATTGATAAAATTGATAAAAAATGTGATCTTATTAGGTAAGCTGACGTATGAATAAACAAAACAATTTATTTGAATCGAATAAGATAAAGTATAAAGCATATACATTGTTAATTCGTATGATTTGTTTAAACTTGCTTCTAACAAAATGCATTCAGGTAATTTAACCTAGTTAAAAAAAAAAGGCATTCTGAAGTGAACGAAATGTGAACAGATGATGCACTCTGATCTAACTGGCTTTACTAAAACTGTTTGTTCTTCTCACATAATCCTAACACTTTGAATGAATGAAACCGTATTTCTGCTTAATCGAATCAAGATGTCAGGCGCCCACAATCATTGTGTCAGTTTTGTTAGCTCGTTCATTCTCAACTTGAAATGAATGTTATTTAATGCTTTCTGTGGAAGTAAGCCAAGTTTTTTTCCATCGTTAAAGACATTGTTGCCTAACATTTTACGTAATTTCAGGAACACAGGATATATATTATGTACATTATATCGGTAATATAATGGAAACCAAATCAAAATGTTTATTGATTAAGATTTACTAGTTTTGTTTACTTTGGAAGTGACCATTATTGAAATTTAGCACATTCTTAAACTCAAAACTATTAAGCGTTTAAAAAAATTAGCAGGATATTTTAAGCCTAATATTTTAATCAAACCTTTTTGTTTTTTATAAAAACTCTGTTTAACATGAGATCTTATTATTTTCATTTTTCTATATATGCAACCTTAACTCCACATTTACTTTTCATAAGGTATGGCTTATTATCTTTATGTTCCGTATTCGAAAACGTTTAGTAATGGAACGAGAAGGTTGAAAACAAAATATACAATTTTACAGTGTTTTTGCACATTTTGGTTTTGATATTATAAACTAAGTTGTCATAGCGACTATTTCATAAGAATTTCTTCAGTGTAGATGTGTGAGCTATAAACCTTATTTTGTTATTTTCAACTTTTCTGTCGTATTTTATTTTATCATGTGTTATAGCTCATTTAGTTTGTAAATCTCAAGCCTCATGAAGCAGTACAAAGTTTATCCCTCCTTCAGTAAGTAAGTATACATGGTTACGGTACTAAAATCCGGGTTTCGATATGCGTGGTGGACAGAGCACAGACATTTCATTTTTTTAGCTTTACCCTTAACAACAACCAAACCAAAATTTATTACACCTAGCATTTTTTCTTTAATTTCGTGAACTGCTACCACTATGGTG